TCTGACTGCGACCCTGTACTTCTGAGCCCATGGGAGTCAGACTCCAGGTCTGACCGGGGATGACTGCAGGCAGTTACCAAGCTCGCTGCCTCCGTGGCCTCATCTAGAAGCAGGCAGGACAACCGGCCACGTGGGGACTCTGAGGGGATCACCGAGGTGATTCTGTAAAGTGCTCAGCCCGGCTCCTGCACAGAGGAGGTGCTCAGACCATGCCAGTCCAGGGCTGCCACTGGAGTGGTCTGGGATGCCTGTGGCCCTCAGAGCTGCCTGGCTGTGGGCAGGTGGGCCTCCCACCCTTGCCCCAGGGGACTGGTTCCTGGCCCCTGCCTCCCCACCTCCTGATATACAGCGGGCATTAGACCGCCCAAAGGGGATACTGCATCCTTAGGAAGAAATATGTCCTCATTTTTCTTAAACACCGTTTCCACTGAGTGAAATGTTTAGAAGGGACGCGCAGGGAGAACTTTATTTCCTACCAGGGAGTTCAGAGCCACCAAGCAGAGCCCATAAAGCACCAGGAGCCTGGTAGCTGACAGGCAGCCTGGCTCTGAAACACATTACTCACGGTGAGGAGGGGCTGCCAGGCCTGCCCAGCCCCTGGGGCCCCCCTAAAGGCAGGACAAGTAACTCAGACCCAGGGCCACGGGCAGTGGGCACAGGAGCCTCTCCTCCCTTGAGCCCAGACTGTCTGCAGGAGAGGCCTGGCCCGGACCAGGTGAGGAAGGAGCCACTTTGTCCCGCCACCCAGTCCTTTCCCCCGGAGAGTGGGGCGGTCAGGGGATGAGGGCCCAGGTGCAGCACTGGCAGGAGCCCTGGCCTTCTCAGCCTTTGGAGGGAGTGATGAGATTCATGCCATCACGGGCCCCTTCTCCCGAGGCCCTCCCTTCATTCGATTTCTGAAGCTGGCTGATTTGAATATTTATAAATATCAGTAAATTATTTATTGTAGCAATCTGCTGCACCATTTTACCCATCGCAGTTAACACTTTAGGGGGCTCCAAGTTATAGGAACAGGAAGTGGGGTGAGAAGGGGATGGGGCAGGGGTAGAAAGGATCCCCCATGGGAGAGACAGGGATTTCCTAGACACCCAGAAGCCTCAGTGGGGATGACGCCCAGGCCTAGCCCTCCACAACCCTTGGCTACAGTGAGCTCGTGGGCACTGGGCCCACACTCCAGAATCACTGTCCTCCTCTGTCGGATGCGGTGACGGTAACATTGGCTCCCAGGGTCATTACAAGGCATCGGTGAGCTAGAGCCTGAAAGGTGGACAGTCCTTGCCCCCTTCTCACCATACCAAGGAGGGGCTGCCCAGCTCAGAGATGGGAGCGGCCTGCTGAGCCTTGTTGAGTTTGGAGCCCTGAGAGGGACGGTTCAGACCTCGGAGCCAGGGAGGATGGGGGAGGGCTGAGAGACCAGTCTGCCCTGGCACCAGACTCCTGCCTCTCCCCCACTCAGCCCCTACCACTTCTGGGCCAGGTGAGGTTTCTGGTCTTGGGATCTCAGGCACAGATGTGGCACTACATCTGACTGTTGTCCCCTCCCAGGGTCAGCTCTTTTCCCAGGGCTTTGCTTGCCAGCCCTGTGCTTGGCGCAGGCAGGCCGCCTCTCACCTTACAGTCCTGCGGCCCTTCTACAGGGAGGAAGCTTGCCCGGGGCCCAGAGCTCGTGAGGGGCAGCGCCAGGCCATGAGCTCACGACTCTCTGACCCCAGAGGCCAGGCCAGAACCTGGTGCTGTGCCATCTCCCAGGGTTCGCCTGGCCAGTCCAGAGCCATGGGGGCTGAAGGCTGGAGGCCGGGCGAATCGCCAGGAGCAGAGTGGGCGCACTGCCCATGTGCAAGTCCCGGGCCGGGCCAGGCCCACCTCGCTGCCCCTCCCCTCGCCTCGCTGCGGAGCCTGCCCAGCCCTGGGTGAACAGAACGGGAGTCCTCTCGCCTTCCCACCGTCCAGCCCAGGCCTGCCTCCTGGCAGTATTGTTCCCAGAGGAAGTGTCCAGTGTAAATAGAGCAGCGGGCAGGCTGGTGGCGGGAAGGAGATGAAAGGAGCAATGACAGGGCCGGGGACGGATGGCTTCCTTCCATTGAGGCCTGGCCACGGCGTTTATATTTTAGGGAAGAAAGTCAGAGGACTGTTTACATAGACAGGAGTCTGGGGTCAGACCATAGGGGTGGGGGGTAGTCTGTAGGTCCCTGGGTCCTTGTGGAGAGGCAGGGCGGCAAGCCCATGGGGTGGGCCGGGAGCTTAGCCCTCAGCTTGCACATACCCTCTTCCCACCGACGTAGCCCTGCACACGTTGGCACTTAGAACATGAGCCCTGCCTCTGCCTCCTCACCCTGTGTCGGGCCCACACCCCTCCTTCCACCTCTACCCCTGGGACCAACAGTAGAGTCAGAGGGAGGGCAACATCTGGAAGGCAGGTGGGCTGGGGCAGAGCAGCAGCTGGAGGGCAGGTGTAGGGGGAGTCGGCAGGAGCAAAGGGGCCTGGGGGCGGGGGGTGGGCCCTGGGCGCACAG